AATAAACTGTTAATTTACTGATACTCTTCTAAATCTAAATATCAAATTAAACCTTCTACTTACCACCCATAAATATTACTTTGCTTATCACTCATAAGCATTTTAAAGAACTGACTGTAATAATAGTAAATATTTTATGAAAATTAATAAATAATGAAATTAAAATTAAATTATGTATTATGATAAAAAAATAAAAAATATATTAGTAATTAGTAATATAAATAAATATTTTATAAATATTAATAAACAAATAATAAAATATAATTATATATTATTTTTTTATTATATAATATAAAAGAAAGAAAAATTCTTTTTTATTATAAGAGATTTATTTTTTTATATAAATTATAAATGTTTATTAGAATAAGTTTATTAGTAATATAATATGAATTTAGTTATTAATTGAGTTAATTAAATAAATTGTTAATGAGTAAATTATAAAAATAAGTGAAAACTTATTTTAAATATAGTTTCTAATCATTAGTTTTATAGTATTATATTAGGATCAGTTATAAAAGCAGATCTATTAAGATAAAATATATTTATTATTTTATTTAAAGCATCTATTAAGAGCAATATAAACTTGACCGTTTGAAAAAATGTTTCTATTTATAGTAAGAGTAATTTCAAAATATTTTTTAACATGATAAATTTCTTTTTTTTAAATTAAAGTAAATGCATTTTTTATATAATTAATTTAGTAAAAAAAATTAATTTAATAACAATAGTAATTTGTTTTAATTTTTTTATTACTTATTTTACTTATTTAAATATTTATTTCTTATTTTAGTTAAAAAAAGATTTTATTTTTTTTTTTATATTAATTACAAAATATTTGTAGATTATATCTATATAAGAAATATTCAATATTTTGCTTTATTTGTTTAATTATTTATTTTTTGTATATCATTATATGATCGGTATATAACAATTTTTTTTTAAAAAAAAATAATAAATAGACTATCTATTTGCTGAAAGGAGGATAGGTAAAACTCTATCTTAGATTTATCATTCATAATCTTAAATCTATAATCAAAAATTATAAATCATGAATTTAAATTCACAAGCAAAGTTTTCTAGTAGATTATAACTAAAAAAGGTATACTTGGTAAGTATTTTAATGATTATTTAGCTAGGGCTTTACAGGTTATATTATTTTAAAAAATATAAAATAAATGCTGTATCACTAAAATTAATGATACAACAAATTACCAAATCAGAAAATTTTAGCTATTGTTTTTTACTCTATGATAATAAAACTAATAACAGAATTAATATAGTAAAAAAAAATAAAAAAAGCAAATTTAGGTTAAATTTTATATAGATTAATCATATTTAACAAAATTTGTTTTTACATAAATTATTAAACTAATAAATAAGATAATAAGTCTTTCTTATTTTTGACTAGTTTTAATAATAATTGTTTAAGTTATATTATATAATTATTAGACAACTAGTCTTCTAAGAGAGTAACATTTAATAGCAGTCTTAAATTAAAGAGACTGAAATATTTAATAGAATAGTAAATATAAATAGAATAAAAAAATAGTAAGATTAACATTTAATATATTAATTTATTATAAACTAGTAGTAATAATAAATTAATATTAGTATTAAGATAAATAATAAAATTCAAAGTTTGTTTTAACTAAGCAAAAATTGAAGATATATAAGCATTCTTTAGAAACTTGTTCAAAATTAATACCTGAATAGGTATTATATCAAATAGTGAAATTTCTGCTAAATCATGTTATTTTATATTAGAAAATACTAAAAATTTAGAAATACAATCAAAAAATCATAGATTCAAATCTATAATGTCAGAATTTTTTTTTTTGCATCAGAATTTATAATATTAGCTCATTTGATGATTCAAATAATTTGTATTTTATTTTTGTATATTATATATTATATTCTAATATAATTTTTCAAAATTAGCAATTTCAAATAAGATTATGTAATATGACTAACTTTTTTTTATGCAAATTATTCTTAAAGTAAAACAAAGAATTTTGTTTATATATAAAATATTTTAAAATTTTCTTTTTAACCTTTTGGATTTATAAATATTTTTTGAAAAAATAATGATATATTTTTAAAAATTATTAATCTTTATGTAATCTGTTTTTATTTTTTATTAAAATATTTTTAATTTTTAATAGAATTTCTCATAAGTAAAACATGTCTAATAATAAATTTAAAAGGAAAGTTCATATTACTTGATATTGTAATCAAAATGTAATAATTCTTACTATAATATCATATTTATCTAACTCTCTAATTATTGTAAAACTTTGATTTAGTATTTGATGATATTATTTCTTCTTTCTTTCTGCAATTTGCAAATTTACAATAAAAAATTATAGAATTATGCAAGTGTATTAAGAAACTTAATTACAAATCAACTTTATAAAATATTCACAAAAAAGCAATTAAAGATTATATTAAGAATATTATTAACAATTTAAAATATAAATAAATAATAATAAATAATCTAAAAAAAGTATTTTTGTAAAAATTTATTTTATTATATTAAAATAGTAGATGACTTTTTGATATTCTCAAATTATTATAAGTCTTATGATATTTAAATTTTGAATTTTCTCAAAATGATAGTAGAATATACTTTTTTTATTAAAAAAATGTAAAGTAAATAATTATCTGAAATTAAAAATAAATTAAGAATTAAATAAAATTTAATGATTTAAAGGTAAAGTTTCACTTTATAAATTATTTTATTAATAATTATAACTAATGCAAAATAATTGATATATGCTAATTTTATATACTTAACTACTGATTTTTTTATTTTCAAGTCATATTTATGTTAATAACTATAAAATTTAATGGTTTCATTTATAATAAAACTTATTATATAATAAAATATATATTTATTAATTTTATATATAAAAAAACAAATTTTATTGTTTAAAATAATATTACTATGTAATAAATTTTACTTTTACTTAACATTATCTTTCAATTTTATAATTATTAACTTGAATAAAAAATTTCCAGTTGAAAGTGATGTTTTTTGAAATTGGAAATTTAAAATTAAAAAACTTCTAATATAAAGATCATTTATAACAAATAAGAGGTCTGGTTTAATTAACTGACAATTATTTTACTGATAATCATTTAATTAACAATTATTTAATTGACAGATACATTTTATCAATACTTAAATTACTAACAATCATTTTACTGACATAGTTATTTCAACAATATGGTTATTTCACTAAAAAATTTTATATTTTTTATTTAGTAGTTTATAAAAGAAAATTTTATATTTTACAACAAATGAATATTATTCTTCTAATAAAATCACAAATTTAAAATGAAAGATTGTGAGTAATCCCTTTAAGATAATCCATAAATTCTTTATTTTCATGATCATTATACACTATTTGTATATAATTTTTACGTTCATGATCTTATTTTCTTTGTAATAATCGTGATACCTTCGCAAATAGATTCTACATGAAACTGCACTTGTTTTTACTCATTTTGTAGTTCTTTTATAATTTTAAATACATCTACATGAGCACGACCTACTAATATTTCCCATCTTCTTTGCTAAGTCTCTACATTATTGTGAGTTCTTAAAAATGAATATTCAATATTGTCAGTAACAGACCAAAGTAAAGGTGAAAATAATAGTTCAGATTGAATTACATTTTCATTTCGTAATGTATGTCTAATTTTTCATAAACATAATAATTGTTGAACCAATTTAAAATTTGGCTTTCTTCTACTAGCATATTAGTTTTCAATTCATTAGTACCCTCTATCACCTTGATATTCACACAATTGAGCATTCAGTTGTCAATTATCTCTCCTTGTATTAACCTATAAATCTTGTGCTGTTCTAGCCTTGCAGATCTGAAATTAAGAAATAAAAATAAGATAAGTATTTTCTCGAAGTAATCTAGCTTTCTCCTCTTCTAGTTGATCATTAATAGCTTCTATATCTTCATCATAGGATGAAAAATCAGGCATAGAATCTTTCAAAACATTAGTATTATCCCCTAAATTACCTAAAATTTTATCATCAAATTCTAAATGAGAATTTGATATTTTAGAAGGAGAAGAAGGACTTCTATTATATATAACTTGTGTCAATTCTTGAACTCTTTTTTTCGCAGTATTAGCAAGGTCTATAGCTTTTAAACTTTTCTCATGCTCTTTCTCTAATAATCAGCAAACCTTTTGGAGAAATAAGTTTTCTTCTGGCTCTACTGAAAATAGTATTAAAGATGAAATACTAGCTAATAAATCCTCATCAAATTGCTCACTCAAATTGCAATAATGCCCAATAGATCGGTCAAATTCTTCTTATAATGTTCTAATAGAAACTCTCTCACTAGAGGAGCTACTAGAAAGTAATTGAAGCTTTTCTGTTATTCTAGCAAAATCCTCTTGTAATATTCTATTTAGGGATTTTGTATTTTTTAAAGCATTCTGAATATCTTGTAATTCTCTATTACGTTCAGCTATTATTCTTTTAGTTTGTAAAAGATTGTCTTCAAGATTTTTTAACAATCCTGAACTCTGCGTAAATTTATTTCATTATCAGCAGTTCGTCTTACTCATTTTAAAATGTTTACTCAGATAGTAGCATGATAATTAATTTTTTCACATTCATCTATTTCATATATATGATTTTATATTTCTAATATATCTGATGAGCTAGAAGTTATATTACTTAATAAAGGTTGATTATGATTCAATGATGATGATGATGAGGACGATGAAGAATCTCTTATTAATAGTACTGAAATGGCCTCTCTAGCAGTGTGTAAAATTCATGTATACAATGTGCACATATGCACATTAAATTTTTGTGTGCACATATTACATAGCATAAAATGTGCATAAATAATTACTAAAATAGATAAATTATATATAAAATGGATAAATTATTTATAAAAATGGAAATACTATGTAATACATGCATTAATTTTCTATTTTTAGTATAACTTGTGCACATGACTTTTGGTCTAAATTTTATACACTGCCCTCTAAGACTAGGTATATTACTAGATGAGACCATTATAAGATCACTAATCCTATTTTTTAGCTGAAATATCTCTTCATGAAGCTTAGATAATTCTTCTGATATCTGATCTTCTCAAAAAAGATGAGTAAAGAAGCAAGGGTTCCTACAATCCAAATAGATCCTGATGAAGCCCAGAGAATCAAAAAAAATATTATATTGTGTGATATATATTATTATCTAATTGGATATTATTCTAATTCTAAATCCTTAAGAGATGCATATAAAAAAAAGGCATCATTTCTGCTTAAAAGAATGCTGTGATTTTTTAAAATGAAATATATATACTAAATATATAAAATTCTTCTAAAGAATATTTCTAGATGTAGCTATAGCTGAATAACCTACCCAAATTACGTACACTAATGTGATTTGCTATTCTTTACACATGATCATTATAAGCATAAAAAATATATAGCAGTACTTAATATAATAGACTGTGCTTTCTGATATAAGGCTTCTATTTCATTCACATTGAAGAAGAGTTCAAAAGTTGCTAGAGCATTCAGAAAAAAATATGATGATCCTAATAATCCTCTTGTATAACTAGAACTTCTATAATGTGATGAGGGTCGTGAATTTATAAAAAAAACTTCTTGATTGATAAAGAAGTATAATGTTACTATTTGAGTGATTAGTGCATATTTTTATTGAAAAGTAGCTTTTGCAAAATGTTTTAACAAGATATTCACAAAAATACTCTATAAAATCCAAGATGCTATTGAATCTATATATCCTAATTCAAAATTAATAAAAGTATGAGTTAGGCATTTGTCTATTGTTATCGATTATTTAAATAATTATTCCACATATTTTATTTGAGAACTGAGATCAGAAAAGTGAAAACTTGAGCCAGTGAAAGCCATTACATTAGAATAAGTAGAATCTAGACTATCTACAAAATATAAGCGTTCAGTTAGAAATGATAAAATAGTATTAAAGAAAAGTGATACTGTTCACTACCTACTTGCCAATACATAATGAAAAGAAATATGAAAAATCAAAAGCAGGTAACTGATCTGATATAGAGTCCAAATCTTCATAAAATCTAAAAAGTGGTTATCATAAAGAATGAACCAGTTTTATATTATCTCAGAAGTGATGATGAATATACTTTATTACATAGGTTTGTATAAAAAGAACTCATGTTAATAGCTAACTCAGAAAAAGTTGAGTATCCACCCTAAAGCATATTATCTGTGTATATTACTTATATCACTAATAGAGAGATAGAGGGTCTGACAAAGGATGGGATCAAGCTATTGATTATGCCAGAAAATGTGGTAGTCAGTGTTTATAAAGAACTGGGCAGATAAATAGTCATATTGTATATATTTAGTCTTGTGAAAATGATGCGCATCAGTGGGAATATCCATTAAAATATATCATAAAAAAATTTGAATGGTATTTGTTATACTACCATAGAAGTAATAAACGTCAATGCTGATATATTTTTGAGGATCTGTTATGCAAAAAATTCTCATCACGTAGGCTAAATTTTTTGGATAGAATGCAACTCAATAGATATAATGAGGAACTGCGTCTTGCATTCGAATTTTAGGATCCCTAATACTATCATCACAATAGTCTATATCATCAGAAGAATGAAACTTTAAAAATACAAAAGATACATGATCAGAAGAAGTGAGATTTTTGCAAGAAACAAGATATATGCCTTATTAAAGTTCTCTATACTGCTGATCTTTTTCCCTATATTAAGAATACACTTATCGAAAAAGGATTCTTGAGTAATTCTTCAAGTTAGATCAGAGAGAATTATTTTCTTAGCATTTTTCTGAGACAACCTATCCTAGAAATTTTTTGACATTTTAGTATATTATTAGTAATAGTTACTTCGAAATAAAAATAAAAAAGCTTGAGCCTGTTGATAGACTTGTATACCATATTAATGAGATTAAAGATGCCAAATGATATAATGGATATTCAAGTATTTCCCAATGGTCTTTTACTTTACTAATCTGTGATCATACTAATTCAGGAAAAACTAATAAGATTCTCAATCTCATGCTCAGAAATAAGCTTTATCGAATGTTTAATGAAAAAAAAGAAGGGACACGTTATATTAAGTATGACTCATTAATCACTAACTCAAGGAGTTAAAATATATGTATCTCAAATCGGCATTCCAGATAATTGCAAATAGTCCAAAACCATATTGTGAAAATATTACATTTCAGATTTTAAAGTTTGATAAAATTCTTAAAGTGGATTCATTTTCTTTGAATAGAGGTATAGCAACTATTTTCGAAGATATATGTACTGATCTAAAAAAATTGCAAAAGAAAATTATTCCTTATTTTGTTGAAGAGCGGCATTACAATATCAGTTTGATATACAGTTCTGGCGAAAAAAAATGACAATTACAAATTGGCAAATATCTCGTCCGGCTTTTATTAAAAAAATCCAATATTTTAAAATTAAACCTTCTAAATATACATAATGAAAATATAAAAATCCTAAAAATTTATCATGTGATCTTGGCTTTCTACTACCATTCCTACACGCCCTGGCATAGACCTTATAAGATTAATACATAAGTTTACATCGATTACCTCCCATTCTTCCCTTATTAACCTCATAAAAATTTTCTGCATAACCGATTTTTTTTCAATGACTATAATATTAACCTTCTTCTCGACATTTCTTTTCATTATTGCTCATAGATTCTCAATCGGATTAAGATCCGGAGAAGAAGACAGCCAATCGAAAACTCGAGGACAACGATCCTGAAGTAAAGCGATCGTAAGTTTAGCTTGATGCTTAGGATCATTATCCTGTTGGAATATTCACCTATTTTGAAAGATCCAGGATGCTTGCTCAAACAAATTTCAGTTATAATATTCTGGTAAAGCTCCCTATTCATGTTCTCTATGAACATGTGAAATCTGACAATTCCCTTTGCACAAAATGCACTCTACACATGGACTTTAAAGGGGTGTTTTATCACAACTCGTCTCGGTATTGTTTCTCCAACTTTGTAATGAACTAGCGTCATATTACGAAACATCTGATATATCGACTTGTCAGAAAATACGACATTATTCCAACATTCTTCTTGATGAGCTTTCGCCTAAGTGACATGACAATTCATAACATTCTGGGTAAGGAAAGGAACTGAATGAGAAATACAAACTTTATACCCAAGGTCTTAAAGGTTTTCTCTAACCGTCCGAGATGCAATATCAAGGTCAGGGTATTTTTTTTTTAGGTTTTCAGTTATTTCATTACTTGACGCACATTTGCGCGATTTTACAATTCGATTAAAGTAGCGACGCTGAAAAGGAGAAAGACGTTTTGAATGTTCTGGACGACTTCTTTGCTTAAGATCATTCATTTCTTTGAGTTGTTTGGCCCATCTGTATAATGTTTTTAATGGATATCCAGTGGCTTTTTGAAGATCTGCGACTTTATAAATGCCACCTTTCTATAAAGCTTTAATACATTGATGGCGCTCTTTTAGTAAAACCATTGTATGATACTTGCGATTGCCAGGCTGCAGATATTTATTAAAATATGATGTAAACAACTTGTTTATATCATAATTTATGTTTTTGTTTAGATATTTCGCGTGATCCGCTCCAAAATCTAAAAAAAAAAAATTGTCATTTTTTTCCGCCAGAACTGTAAGTAAAATTGCTTAAATTATATTAATTAAAAAACTTAAAAAAAATAAATAAAAAAAATAAATAAAATACTTATAA